CTTTGCCTTGGTTCTGTTTTTCTACTGGGTGACTTGAATTCATGCTCTGGTAGATCACTGTTTTCTCCTTTTGTTCTATAGGTTTAGGGATGATAATGGATTCTTGCCGTGCCTCGCAATCCCTGATAGTGTTTAGCATCCTTAGAATCTTTTATGTCAATTTTTTAGCATATCTAGTAGTAGTATACCCTTCTTTTCATTTTTGTATATCATGAAATGATCAGGCAAGGTACTTTTTGATAGTATCTGTGTTCTTAACATTTGTAATAGCCCATTCTTTTTATTTTCCTTCTTGAGCTAAAAGGTAGGATTTTTTCCCTTTCATTTATGATAGTGTGTACGTCTAAGCATGTGACAGAGAAACAGAGAGAGAAGATCTGATCAGACCACGATCCCCTTTCTCCTGTCCTCTAACCTGTCTGGTCTTGGGCACTGGTGCATGTGTCCAGCATATTTTAGCTGGATTGGGCCAAGACTCAACCCATGGTTGCCAAGTGGGCATCTTGCTTCCCTTAAGGAGCACATAACTGCTGTCCCATGTGGCTGGCCTTACATTCTTATTGACTGATTGATTGATTGGAGATAGACAGGCACCCTCAGCAGAGTCCTCATAACATGATTTATCCTCAGCTCCATCCAGGTCTGGTCACAGGCACAGGTGTGCAGCATGTATAGGGAGGTCTTGTAACAGGAATCTTGGACTTTCCCATGTGGGACCAGTTGTGTTGTCCCTGCACCATCATCTGGTCCTATATTCACATTTTTTTGATAAACTTTTTTTTTTTAAATGGGGATTGTTATTTAATTAATTAATTTATTTATTGAGAGATTTTTACTATTGGTTGTGCGAGAAGTCACCTCCTGGGAGGATGACCATGCCACAGTTCCTTCTCCATTCTCCTCTTGGGATTTTGGGTACATGTGCCTGGCGTGTTTCAAGCCTCTGGGTCTGAGACTCAAACCACAGTTGACTATGTGGGATTCCAGCAACATAACCATTATGCTGGTCTTGATAAACATTTTCTAATTACCTTCTATCACAACCCACCACTACTGCTCTCACTGATCCTTTCAAATACCTTTTTTCCTTTTAAAAATTGTGATTATGTATGTATGTATATATAAAACACTTTTGTAAAACATATATAAAACATGAAATTTGCCATTTAACTATTTTTAAGTGTGAAGTTCATTGATATTAAGTACATTCACAATGGTATACAACCATTACTGCTGTCTCTTTCCAAAACTTGCATCACCCCAAACAAGAAACCCTGTAACCATTAGGCAACAGACCTTCATTTCCCCCTTCCCTTGGCTCTTAATAACTTCTATTCTACTTTCTGTCTCTGTAAATTTGCCTACTCTAGATATTACATAAACACAGGAGTATGTAATGTTTGACTTCTGCTTATTTCAGCTTTTTTAACATCTTCAGGATTCATCCATCTTGTAGAATACATCAGAATCATTTCTTTTTATAGCTGAATAATAACCCATTTTAAGTCAATACCACATTTTATTTATTTATTTATCCATTGATGGATACTTGGATTGTTTATTGTGAATAAAGCTGAAGTGAGCATTAGTGTATCTCTTTTGTGTTTTTGCTTTCAATTCCTTTGCGTATATACCTAGGAGTGGAGTTCCTTGGTCATATTGTAATTCTCTGTTTAGCCTCTTCTTTGTTTTTTGGCTATAGGGTGAGTACATTGGCCAGAGAAAGAGAGAGAAAGCATCTCCTAATGGGGTGTGATCATACCACAATCCTTTCATCCCTATTTCTCCATCCTGTCAAGAAATTTGGGGCATGCAATCACAGACACCTGATGTGTTTTTCAAACAGCAAGGGCCAGGCTTCAAACTGTGGTCAGTCATGTATGATCTGGCTCCCATGCATAGCACCCAAGCACTGTGCTCTGGGGTCAGACCTGTGTTTAGTTTTCTGAGGAACTGCTCTAGCAATTGTACCAATTTATATTTTCACCAGTAATGTAAGAGGGTTTCATTTTCTATATATCCCCACTAGTACTTATTGTCTTTGATTTAATAGACATCCTAGTAAGTTTAAAGTGGTTTGATACACATTTTTCTAATGCTAGTGATGCTAGGTATATACATATTTTTTTAGTTATTTAATTTTTAAAATTATTTTTTAAACTTGCTATAGCACATGTACACTCACTAGAGAGAGACAGAGACAGAGAGAGGAAAAGTGAGAAAGCAGGCTCTCAGGTTCAGGAATCAAACAGCAGTTGGCCTGTTGCAAGTCCAGAGCCTTAACCACAACACCATCCCTGTTAGGTCCCTGTTAAGTATCTTTTAATGTGCTTATTAGTCATTTGCATATTACCTTTGGAGAAATGTCCTTGCAAGTGTTTGCCCATTTAAAAAACAGGGTGTGGGCTAGCCAGTGGCGTGGTAGTTAAGATGGCTAAATCTTCGTTGGCCAGTTGCACAGTTCAAGTCCTGTATCTGGCTGCTTGAAAAACACCCTGGGCACACATACGTGTGTGTGTGTGTGTGTGTGTGCACCCAATATCTAGACAGGAGAATGGAGGAAAAGGGATGTGCCCCCCCCCCCCCCCCCAGGTTCTTTCTCACTTTACCTTTCTCTCTCTCTCTCTCCAGCAAGTGTATCTCCCTATAGCAAGTTTGTTTGTTTAAATTGGGTTCTTCATCCTTTTGTCCTTAAGTTATAAGAGATCTTCATATTTGTATGTTTTGGAAAGTAAGTCTGTGTGAGATAAGCAATTTGCAGTTTTCCAATTCTATATGTTGTCTATACACTTTGATAATATCCTTCAATATCTCTAAATTTTAAATTTTGATAAAGTTCAATTTATTTTTTCTCATGTTGTACTTTTATATTTTAGTAACAGAACCACCAACAATTTATCAGTTGTTAGATGAATTTCTCCTGGTAATCCAAATTAGGAGTTGCGTTGCTTTTTTGGTCCAGATTCAACAAAAAATAACATACTAACTGCCATTAATTGAGTACCTAATATGTGCTAGGTACTTTTGGGAAAACTGAGAAAAGAGAATTCTAAAAAAGAAAAGGCTCAGAATTTTTGCCAGGTAAATTCTGCTGAAATTTCTTAACCTTTCAAAGAAGTCAAAAGACATAGTTTTCTCTACCATTTCTCTGGATGGCATGGAAGAACTACCGCTATGGTATCCTCATCACTGATCAAGTTCATGGCATTTGCCCTGAACCCTAGGCTCCCCTATACTTTATCCTGTGGATATTCCAGGTTTCTTGTTTCTGCTTCTCCTTGAATCTCTTACATAGCTAACTTTTACCATACATGCCTAGTCCATAGTATTCTTTACAGACTGCTTAAGAAAGTCAGGATAATGGCTGGCTGAGGCTGGGAGTGGATGGTGATGTGACTACCCTGTTGGCAGTATCTGTTTCTCTTTCTGAAATATTTAAGTATATAACATGTTTTATTTTTTTGGAGAGGTTTTTCGCTATAGTGCACGTGCGCTCGCCAGACAGAGAGAGACATAGAGACAGAAAGTGAGAAATCACCCCCCAGGGGGGATGGCCACGCCGCAATCCCTTCTCCTCCATTCTCCTCTCGGGATCTTGGGCATGCATGCACACGCGCCCGGCGTGAGTTGTAAGCCACTGGGTCCGGGACGCAAACCACAGTCTACTACTTGGAGTCCAGCGACATAGCCATTACGCTAACTGCTGGTTCCCTGTATATAACACGTTTTTCAGACAAGTGGATACTATTGTTATTAAATTATTCTACTATTTACTGTCAATAGATGTAATCATTAGATTAAGACTATTAGGGGCTGACCCCATAGTGTATGTTTAAACCTTGTGTGTAGGGAGCCAGATCCCCCATGACTGACAGCAGTTCAAATTTTGGCCTGGTGGTTTGAAAAACACACTGGGCATGTATGTGTGCATGCCCCAAATCCTAATGGGTTGGAGAAATGAAGAAAAAAGGATTGCTGAGTGACCATATTCCAGTGGGGGGTGTTGTCACTTCTTTTTGGTGAGTGCATGTACCTCTGGTTATTAAAAAAAGGGGCGGGGAGAGACAGCAGGTGGTGTGGTGATTAAGATGCTGGACTCCCATGTGACCAACCTCTGCCCAAGTTCTGGACCCAGTGGCTTGAGACTCAAACTGGACATGTGTGCTTTTGTGCCAAAAATCTCGAGGAAAATGGAGGAGGTAGGACTGAGGCGTGGCCATCCCCTCAGGGGGTGATTTCTCATTTTCTGTCTCTCTGTGTCTCTGGCAAGCACGCAGCCCTATAGCAAAACAATCCGTTACCCCCACAACCCCACACACACACAAAAAAATTAGGAAATGTGCTTAATTTCTATTACTATCTTTTTTTAAAAAGAATTTTAAAATTTAACTTTATTTATTTATTCACTTATTTTATTTTAATTTGACCAGAGAAGGACAGAGAGAGAGAGAGAAAGTGAGAGAGCAAACTACAAGGGTTGGCACTCAAACCTTGGTCAGCCATGTGAGAGTCCAGGGCCCTTTACCACCACACCCCCTGCTGGCCCCACCATTACTATCTTTTGTTACTCAGATTATGAGCAGAGAAAGGAAGCATAATGTTGAAAATGTGTTGAAATCATGACCCAAAGAATGTTATTTATTTACACTATCCATCAAAATAAACTAAAGAAATAAGGAAATTTTAGAAAGAAACTCAAGGTAAAATGAGTACCTTACAGAGGGACTAATGTTTGGATCCAGATTCTAAATCTGTTACATTCTACTAGAGAAGTGAGAGTTTCTTCCACATTTACAACTCTGAAATTCCTTTTGGAAACTGTGATACTATTGACTAAAACTATTAGGCATTTCCTACTTGTGGTATGAGTGCATTTTCTCTAATATACTTTCCTTCAAATGTCCCAATAACTGTTCACTGTCTTTCCTCAAACTCTGTAAAAACACAAATATCAAGTATTCTATAAGTATTTAATATGATATTTGGATTTTCTTCCCTAGCGGATCTGAAAAGAACAATTGCTGTTCTTCTGGATGATATTTTGCAGCGGTTGGTGAAGCTGGAGAACAAAATCGACTATATTGTTGTGAATGGCTCAGCAACCAACACTACCAATGGTACTAGTGGGAATTTGGTGCCAGTGACTCCAAATAAAAGGATAAATGCATCAGGCAGCATTAGATAGCAATTGAAGATCACCTAGTGCTACTTCATCCACTGTGGATTATATCCTATGGCAGAAAAGCTTTTTAATTGCTGGCTAGGACAGAGTAATACTTTGTAATAAAAGCTCTGCACATTTTCAAGAAGTATGCTGGATTCATGGAACTCTAATTCTGTATATAAAATTTTTTAAAGTTATGAGTTTGCTTTCAGGCACGTCTCTGCCATGCTGTACTATAGCCTTAAAAGGAATTTGATAACATGGTCGATGTAGTAAGCAGGTAGGTGATCTTTGTATACATTTTTTGTTGGAGAGAAAGCTGAAATGAAAACACTGAGATATTTATTTAAGTATATAACATGTTTTTCAGATGAGTAGAGAATATTGTTAATGAATCATTTTGTCATTTGTTGTCAATAGATGTAACTGTTAGATTAAAACTATTAGAAAATGTGCTTATTTCCATGACTATATTTTGTTACTCAGATTATGAGCAGAGAAAAGAGATATAATGTTGAAAATAATATTTTCAAATCATGACCCAAAGAATGTCTTCATTTGCACTGTCCTTCAAAATAACTGAAGGTTAATTATTGTATATTTTTTAAAAGTTACATTTGTAAGAGTATAATATTGAAATGGGTAGCAGCCACTGTCCTTAAACATTGGGGAAATTTATTTAATAACAACATTAAAGTTGTAATTTCTAATCTCATTTAAAATTTTCTTACATATATTCTGAAGAATAAAAGATATTTTTATGATGAGATTAAAAATTACTGAGATATTCACATATATAGATGTTAACTTAAAAGTTTAACCCCTTGAGTGTCTGTGTTATCAGGAAAGCACATTATTTCAGTAACCGGTAATTATTGCTTTTATTATGTTGATGAAGAGAAGAGGACTAAGATACTTCGAAGATGGGGACTCTTGAGGAATTTAGCCAGATGTATATAATAAAGGTATTTGTGCTACATTAAATTGATTGGAAAATGTTAACATTATAATATGTAAGAGTGTCCTGCTTTATGAAGTTTTAGATTTGTATAACAAATACATTAGCTATTCATTTAATATAATAACACTTAAAATATTAAGAACATTTCAAGTATAATTTAAATGATGAAAATTGACTATCTTTCAGGAAAACAGCTGTTGTATATAGCAAAAGAGATCCTAATCTTGGTTAATTATAGTATAGAACAAAATACACCTTCATTTAAATTTTCCTTGTAGAAAATCTAATTGCCATATGGTGCCCTATATTTCATAGTATTTATTCTCTATAACTGCTTAAGTGCAGCTAGCTTCTAGATTTAGACTATATTGAATTTAGTTTTGAATATTGTATCATTCCTTATTATAATATGCTACCATGTGTAGTAGCAATAATTCCAATATTTTATTAAAATAATTATGAGAAAATATTGTTTCTTAAAAGATGGCTTTCCAAACTCTCTTCTCTGTACAATACCTTTATGTGAAGAAATCAGTTATATACTGTGGCCAGGTGAAGTTTGGAATAATTGTTCAGTCTGTCTTATTAGATGTGGACATTTTTGTTTTTTGTTTATGTTTTCAGGGATGAAATAAAATATATTATTTGTACTGAGTGTTATAAGCTTTTTCTTTAGTGATGGTTGTACATTTAATAAATGTTAAGTGATTAAAAAGACTCTTAAGATAATTTGAGGTTTTGTTTTATCAATTTAGGTTACTTTTCCAAAATAAGAAAATTTAGGGTTATTAAGTAATGCCTCTTATTTGGTGCCTTTGCTAGGATAGTAGAGTCTGAATGCAAAGATATATGGAAATAAGCCTGGGGGTTATAATTGGAGGTCTTTCCTAGGTTTGTATCTTCAGGTTGAAGTTTACTGTTGATTTTTTAAAAAGTCAAGACTTAGTGTTTATATCTTTAGTTAATCTTAGTTAATTGGGACACTAGCACAGAATGTATGACTACAGTACTAAAAATTTCAAATTTGTATCAGCCTGTCTTTAGGTTTGCTTTGTGCAATATATTAATTAAAAAGTAATTTAGTACAGCATGGTTTCATACATCTATAATCTCAGCTACTACTGAGGAGGTTGATGCAGGAGGATTGTCAGTTTGAACCCAGCTTGGGCAACAGTAGAACTCTATCTCAAAAAAGAAAAAGTAATTAAACATTAATTCAAGTAGTTGATGATAACTTGGGTCTCTTTAGTCTTCGTGAAATACTTATGATCTTGACTCTAGAGTTAGGTGGCCTGTAGATACTTAAGTCTGCTTTTTAGTGACAAACTATATTCTGCCTTCTTGGGAATTTATAGAATCTTCCTCATCTTATTTAATTATGTCTCAGAAACTTAAAGAATTAGCATCTTCTCTGATGTGAACAGTTGGTTTAAATGTAAACAATGTTCGGTTTTTAACCAAACACTTGGAGCTGAATAGTTATTTATATAATTAAATTGTTTTTCCTTCTCTTAGAGAAATGTCTATCTGAAAAGCAGTCATAATACAGTGAAACAAACTGTGTTAGAATTCTCTAGGGAGACAGAACCAATAGGCCATGTGTAGATATATGAGATGTGAGGGGATTTATTGGAGGTATCAGCTTATTGGAGGTATCTGGGAAGTTCTCCAACAAGCCATTTGCAAGCTGGACATCCCGGGAGTCTGGTAGAGTGAATCTGTGCAAGTCTAAAAGCTTCAGAGGCATGGAAGCTAATGATGGATGTAGCTTACCATGAGGCCTAGAGCCTGAGAGCCTAGAGATGGGCATTGTGAGGTGGTCAGCACTGGTATAAATCCTGAAAACTGAAGGCAGGTGAGCTTTGAATTGATGTCCGAGGCAACAGAGGAAGTCCGTCTTGCTCTGTCTCAAGAGACCAAACACTTCGTTTTCTGCATGTATCCTTTTAGCATCTTTTACAGTCTCTCTGTTGATTGGATTGAGGCTTTCCACATTGACAGCAGATCTTCTACATATCCTTTTAGCATCTTTTACAGTCTCTCTGTTAATTGGATTGAGGCTTTCCGCATTGACAGCAGATCTACAGCTAGCCTATTTACACTCATATGTTAATCTCTTCCAGAAACATGTTTCTAGGTATTCCTTAATCTAGTCGCCCAAAACTAAGCATCTATTAAAAGAAAAATAAACCAGCCAACTTTAAATAGAGTTTTAATTGAGCAAATCTTAACATGATTTAAATCAGGCAGTTGTTCCCGGACTTCTGGACAATTCCAGGTAACTTCGTGGTCACACACTATTTAAGTTCTGAAAAAGAAAGTGACATGAACAGGAATGGGGAATGTGATGTCAAAAAATGAAAGTGAAGTAATGAGGTAGGAAAACAATTTGGATTGGCTACATTCCGAAGTTGATCAGCATTAACACAGTTTACAAGGGGGGATGCCTGTGATTGACTGAAGCCTAGCTGCTGTAATTGGTTGTAACCTAGCAACTAGTTCAGAAAAATAACCTTACATGTATGATTTTGGCTTATCCACAGGAATCCAAGTGTGAGAGTACAGAGACTGTTTCAGGACAAAATAGTTTAATTTAACACATCACACAGACTGCTTAGTGCCCTCCCTTGAAAAAAATAAAAAGTTAACTGAAATCATTTTTTCATAATTGAAAATCCTGAATGAGTCTTAAGAACTTATAGTTAGTGGCATAGTAGAGTTATTGTTGGAGATGAGACTAAGAATAAATATTGAGAAGCAAAACAAAAAAGATATTGGAAATCTTTCAGCTGAGGGATAACTACAATTGACATTTTGGTATATAAATGTGAATCTGATCTCCCTTACCCATAATCTCTATTGACTTCCCATTTCCACTTAAAATCCCAAATTTTCATTGTTGCCTTCAAAGCCCTAACCTATCCCTGCAGCACCCCAACCTCATTTCTTTTTCTTTTTTTAAGGTTTTTACTATAGGTACGTGCACTCACCAGAGACACAGAGAGACAGTGAGAGGGAAAGTGAGAAATCACCCCAAGAGAGGATGGCCTTGTTACAGTCCCTTCTCCTCTGTTTTCTTCCTAGGTTTCTGGGCATGCATGTACACATACCCGGCATGAGTTTCAAGCCACTGGCCTCAGGACTCGAATGGCAGTTGGCCCTGTGGGAGTCCAGCACCCTAACCATCACATGCTGGTCCTCTGATCTCACTTCTTACCATTTTTCTCCTTCCTAATTCCTGTTCTGTCATACTGACTTTTTCTTCATAAGATATACAAACATACTTTTTTTGCCTTGGCAACTTCAAGTTCAATATATCTCTACCTGCAATCTCACAGGTATCTTCAAGGATTCCTCCCAAGCATTAGTTAGATATTTGCTCAAATATCATTTCTTGAGGGACATTAACTCTAAGCCCTTACCTAAAATAGCATGCCTCTGGCACTCTTTTCTTACCCTTTTTACTCTCCATAGTTCTCATATACCTGACATTAAATTGTATATTAATGTATCTTGCTTTTTCTGATGTTTTTTAGAAGCTAATCTTGGGACCAGCAGTTGGCGTAATGGCTATGTTGTCTGTGGTTTGAGTTCCGGACCCGGTGTCTTAAACTCACGCCGGGTGCGTGTGCATGCGTGCCCAAGATCCCGAGAGGAGAATGGAGGAGAAGGGATTGCAGTGTGGCCATCCCCTCTGGGGAGTGATTTCTCGCTTTCTGTCTCTCTGTCTCTTGTCTTTCTGGTGAGCGCATGCACCCTATGGTAAAAACCTCCCAAAAAAAAAGAAGAATAAAAAATTAATTTTTATCTCATTATTATTTTAAAATTTGACCAGGGAAGTGGGGCTGGGGCTGGGGGAGGTAGGGAAGTGAGAAAGTAAGCTGCTAGGTAGAAGACTTGAACTGTAGTCGGCCATGTGGGAGTCCAGCACCTTAACTACCATGCCACCTGCTGGCCCTGAGTGTATAGTTTTTAAAACTGTATGTACAGGGATCAGCAGACGGTGTGGTTAAGGCACTGGATTCCCACATGGCCGACTGTAGTTCAAGTTTCAGACCTGGTGGCTTGCTTTCTTACCTTCTCTCTCTCTGTCCCTCTCTGGTGACTTAAACAGAAATCAGAATAATAATAACAAATAAAATTAAAATTAAGTAGTTATTTGAAGAACTATACATTCTTTTTTTTCTTTTTTTTGTTAGAGGGTATGTGCACTCACCAGAGAGAGAGAGAGAAGAGGAAAAAGCATCTTCCATAAGATATGGTCACATTGCAATCCCTTCTCCTCCATTTCTCCACCCTGTCGGGATTTTGGGCACACATGTACACATGTCTGGTTTGTTTTCTGGGAGTTGAATCACATGGTCAGCTATGTGGAATCTGGCTGCCTTAACTACCAGGCCATGGAGCCTTAAATATAAAGTGTTTATCATTATTCCATTTGTGGCTGTATCACAATTGATATATCTCATTTAATTATTAACATTTTTCAGATAAAAGATTTAGCCCTTTCCACATGGCAGCTCATAGTCTTGGGTACCAGCAGTTGGCGGAATGACTATGTCGCTGGACTCCCATGTCGCTCGACTGTGGTTCGAGTCCCGGACCCAGTGGCTTAAACTCACACCAGGCGCATGTGCATGCGTGCCCAAGATCCTGAGAGGAGAATGGAGGAGAAGGGATTGCAGCATGGCCATCCCCCCGGGGGGTGATTTCTCGCTTTCTGTCTCTCTGTCTCTCTGTGTTTCTGGAAAGCACACATGCCCTGTAGCAAAAACCTCTCCAAAAAATAAAAAGATTTTAAATTTTATTTGACAGAGGATGCGTGCACTTGCTAGAAAAGAGATAGAGAGGGAGAGGGAGAAAACATCCCCCAGTGGGGTGTGGTCATACCACAGTCTTGTGTCCATTTCTCCAACCGATAAGGATTTGGGGCATGTTCATGCATACCTAGCATATTTTTCAAGCTACTAGGACTGGGATTCAAATTACGTGATCAGCTGTGTGGGATCAGCTTTTTTAACCACTAGGCCAAGGGGCTGACCCAAGCCTAAATATAATTTTTTTAACCTATTGTTTTTCTAGATTTTGATGTTAGTATCTTTCTTTTCTTTCTCTCTTTCTTTCTTTCTTTCTTTCTTTCTTTCTTTCTTTCTTTCTTTCTTTCTTTCTTT